ATCTAATAACAGAATGTAAGCATTCAGAGCTGTGATGAGAGGATGAGATAATCCCAACCACAACCATCCATGGTGGGACGTCTGCCCCCGATCCATGGTGGGACGTCTGCCTCCGATCATTGGTGGAACGTCTGCCCCCGATCCACGGTGGGACGTCTGCCTCCGATCCACGGTGGGGCGTCTGCCTCCGATCATTGGTGGAACGTCTGCCCCCGATCCACGGTGGGACGTCTGCCTCCGATCCACGGTGGGGCGTCTGCCTCCGATCCACGGTGGGGCGTCTGCCCACGATCATTGGTGGGACGTCTGCCCCCGATCCACGGTGGGACGTCTGCCCCCGATCCACGGTGGGACGTCTGCCCCCGATCCACGGTGGGACGTCTGCCTCCGATCCACGGTGGGACGTCTGCCTCCGATCATTGGTGGGACGTCTGCCTCCGATCCACGGTGGGACGTCTGCCTCCGATCATTGGTGGGGCGTCTGCCTCCGATCCACAGTGGGGCGTCTGCCTCCGATCCACGGTGGGGCGTCTGCCCCCGATCCACGGTGGGGCGTCTGCCCCCGATCCACGGTGGGGCGTCTGCCTCCGATCCACGGTGGGGCGTCTGCCCCCGATCCACGGTGGGGCGTCTGCCTCAAACCAAAACACTTTGCTTTTAGAAACTCAGTTTTTATGCTCTTCTGCAGAAATATGGAGGAAAAAATCAGGAAAATTCAAGTAAAAATAAAAAGTCTCTTCTAAAAGTTTGAAGAGATTGGACTGAAGGGAACTGACCATAACCAGGTCCAGTACTCAGCCTTGAAGGTTTATTCACACAAATGAAGACCACCTGAGCTGTGGTCCATCCTGTCAGACAAAATGTCCCACATCACAGGTCATTACAACACAAACACCTGGTCCACAGCAGGTATGATGTCATCCTGGACCTGTTTGTCCATCAGTCTTCTGTTGACACACACACACACACACACACACACACACACACACACACACACACACACACACACACAGAATATGGAAATGTCCACTCCGTCCTGCTTCATTATTCATGCTGAGGAACTCTGAATAATCAGATTACAGCTGATGAAGGTCCTGAATTATTCAGGAGTCTCTGATTGGGACCAGGATCTGACCTGGGGGTCCTGAGGAGACCGGAACAGAAGCTTGAGGGTCCTGAAGCCCCCATGTCTCTGTGAAGGGTCCTTCCTGTGTCCTCCTCCTCTTCACTTTTACAGCTGGACGGCTGCGTTAATAATGGCATGGGGGTCTGGTGTGTGTGTGTTTGTGTTTGTGTGTGTCTGTATGTGTTTGTGTGTGAATGTATGTGTTTGTGTGTGAATGTATGTGTTTGTTTGTATAGATGTGTGTGGTCTTTTATTCTGACCTGTTGCAAAGAGGCAGACTGAATAATTTACGAGGCGGGGTCTTGAATTGATTGTTTTGCTGTGATGGGCATGAGTAAGTTATGCAACAACCATCACACACACACACACACACACACACACACACACACACACACACAGTCCTCTTGTGTCCACAGCAGGCTCAAACAGGACTTCTGTCCTCAGACTGAAGCTTTCATTMTAAATATGATAAATTAGCTGRATTKAAGTCCTGCAGATGGAAACCAGGTGACTCCTCCTCCACACAGACTCACACYAAACCTCTGACACTTCACAATACAACACACCAACAAACTGGACAACATCACCTGTTTCCATGGCAACAAAATGCTGCATCACCTCTGCTGTTCCCCAAATTTCCTGCAGCTAATTTCTGGTATCATCTGAGATAAAAACTGTTAGCTTTGGTTTGACTTTAAAACATGTGAAGTTTCAGGTCTTAAGTTGTGTTTACTTCAAAGTGTGGCTCAGTCCCGCTCCCGTCCTTTTTTTGTCCAATGGGAGCAATGATCGTCAGCCTCGTGGCTTTGTTTACAAGTTATAGTTCATTTGCAAAAAAGCACAATGTGAATGCAAACTGCACCAAATGAAAAAAAAGTCCATTTTTGGTCCAGACCAAACAATTGGACCAAAGGACTTTCCTGGCCTGAATACACCCTTAATTTCGGTAAGTTAAAAAACTTAAAGACATTATAACAGTATACTTTGACAATACTTTTTATGAACTAAAAAAGTCCCAATTTATCATGAAGTAGTATTATATCTGTGTACTTCTAGTGCAGTACAAGTACAGGTGTTAGACACTGAAAGTGAACCAGCTGGTTTTAGACCTGAACATCCTTTCAGACAGCTTCCTGTTGCGTCCACAGTTAATCCTGTTGGATGTGGTTGGTCCTTCTTGGTGGTCTGCTGACATTAGCCTGGATACTGAGGCTCTTCATACATCACAAAGACTTGCTGTCTTGGTCACAGATGCTCCAACAAGACGTGCACCAACACTTTGTCCTCTGTTGAACTCTGGTATGTCACCATAATGTTGTGTACATTGTAATATTTAGATCCAAACTGTGCTCTGACCCTGCTAACTGAACCTTCACACTCTGCTCTTACTGGTGCAATGTGCAGTTAATGAAGACTGACCACCAGGCTGGTCCAGTTTARCCATGAAACCTCCCACASTRACATGACAGCTGTTTCACTTTCATTGTTTAASYCCTGTACATTGTGCCTTGTACTTAAACTTAAACTGAAGTATCCTTGTTAAAATAAACTACATTTTGCAGCTCCTGAACTCATTTTTCACTAAAGGACTCAGATGAGATGATTCTAAAAGGTTTGAGTTTGTAGAAATTAAATTAAAACTGTGCAGAAACATGCCCCCTCCGCGCCAGGCCCCGCCCCTCAGCTCCAGGCCCCGCCCCTCAGCTGCTCCAGGTAACCAGGTTCCAGCTGAGCGGCTCTTTATCAAACAGGATTAAACAGATGCTGTTTGTTCGGCTGAGAGCTGCGGTCCTCCAGCCGACAGTGTGAAGTCACAGAGCCGTCTTCAGGAGCTGAGTGTTTGTTTTCGTCTCGCTGCAGCGTCCGACTCCACTGAGCGACCGTGCATCTGTGTGCCGTTATCTTCTCATGTGTGGTTAGCTTAGCTCTGTTAGCAAACACAGGCTGGGTAAATATGATGAGGGAGGAGGCTCCACGTGTTCTGCAGACTTGGTACAACTGTGGATCAACACAGCTGACAGCCAAAACCAGAACGCTCTCACAGCTAAACAAGCAGAAGGTATTCAAATCCCAGCTAAAGATGCGTTTACAGGAAACACATCAAGTGTTGAGCAGATCAGCTTTGTCCTYTGCAGACAGCTTCAATAAAGGAGAACACATGGAGACTGCATGTAAACAAACTGCTTTATTTGGATTCTTTGCATYAATGAAAAGCCTGAAAGACGTTTTCCTGCAGAACTGAGTTCTGTGCTTGTGTCAGCACAATGTAAGAAATGATGCAAAATGTATTAACAGTTCAATGCATTTTGTAATAATGTAATATTACATTTTGTTAATTGTTAATAGAATAGAAATCATCTTTATTGTCCCACCGATGGGAAGTTCAGGTGTCACAGCAGCATCAGTTTAAATATAAAATAAATATAAATAAAACTACCACTAACTAGCAATGATACTACTAATATTAAAAATATAATGTAAAAGATTGTGCAAGAATAAAAAGATGTTTTGTTGTTACCTATCAGAATATGACATTAGAATTTACTTATTTTCAGTGCAAARCTSTCAGATTAATAACTGTRAAGTRTGACTGCAGACAAGAGACAGATATTTACAGCAGAAATGTCATTTTAACTTTAAAATGGGTAATAACAGAAAATAATTGTTCAGATGAGTCAGATAATAGTTGTAGAAGTGCTGACTCWGTCTAAATGTTCAGTTTTTTCCAAACATTAGTTTTCTTAAACCACTTTCAGCAGGTGTAATAACTAAAGTCTGACGTCGTTCAGCTCATTTAGGTGACTTTTTGTTTTACAAACTTTGAAATATTCAACATTTTTACCTTTTTGCTAAAGTTCTGCTGAGTTATTGACACAAAAACAAATTGAACATACCCTGAACAGCAGCAGAAACAYATTTAAATGTTGGTTAAATGATGGTTTTCTTTATGAAATTAGCTCCCTGATAAAACCTGTCAGATGAAAACATTTAATGAACAAACTGAAACTCTTCTGTTTATTTACACATTCATTTATTCAGGCTCCTGTTCTGTAGAAAAAATGAGATATTTAAATTATGACCAAAGAAAAACAGTCAGTCATGTATTTAATCATAAACTGAAAGTATTTTTGTGTTTTTCCTCGTATCAAACTCCAGATCAGACTGTGGGCCGGGGGGCATCCTCAGGCCTAAAGAGAAAAGCCCCTTTATTATATATTTAGGATCAAATGGAACATGACAGCAGAGAAACCCTGAGTGACTTATTTACATGAAACACAGTTACTCACTCTGCAGCTGCACACGTTTCACAGCCAATCAGAGCGCAGCGATGCTCAGCAGTCCTCCTGGCTGTGCGTTCAGGACGAGCTCAGCAAATCCTCACTGGGACAAATAAATAAATAAAAWAAWAAAATAAAAGCCAAAGGAGGCAATTGCATTAGAGCTCATGAGTCATTCATGTGTGCACGTATCTGATTCATGCATGTGCACGAGCAGGACGAGCACATGGAGAGAAGCAAGGCAGGACTGTCTGAGGTCCAGTCGTCTGGAAGACATGAGCTCTAACGAGCCTTTTATTGTCAACACTGGTTTGAGCTCAGAGAGGAGCTGAGTTTAAACTAATCCCTTCAACTCTTCACACATATTTAAAATAWGAATTCTGTCTTTGTTTTCAGGATGTTTCACATAAACTGGATTCAAACCATCCTTACAGGGAGCTTCAGGTCTCTGTCTCCAACCATCGCTCWGCTTTGATTTCAGGATTAAATCAACTCTATTTACAAACTTTACATTCAAAYTGAATCAAACAGAATTTAAACTGTATAATATTTAACAATAAAAGCTGTTCTGGGTTTAAAATGGGATCAAAGCAGAAGAAATTAAACAGACTAATTTTCATCTAATAAGATGAAAATCTATTCAGCATTYAGATGTAAATATTATCATAGCTAAAAGGTCACTTTGGCCTCAAAGCTCTGAAGCTTTCAAAGGTTACTTTCTGCTAAATATTCATTTTCTGAGGCCATCTTTTATCAGCTGACAAAGTTCACATTTTATCATTTTACAGAAAAAAAAATCCTCCGAGGTGGTTTAGATTAAGATATTTTCTGTTTTAATCTCTTAATAATGATTATAATGTATGAAAGATTTATTTGAACCAAACTTTGAACTGAGCTGAAACTTTAAATCTAAGAAAAGGATGTTTGCAGTTAAATTAGAACCAATTAGAAATAATTGAATTTCTGTTTTGGATGAAAACTAAACCAAAAATAATTTAATCAGATCAGTTTGTAATGGTTATTGTTTGTCCAATCAAACATCCTATTTCAAGACAAATTTCAATGAGCCACTGCTGCTCTGTGATGTTTCACACGCAGGCAAAAGAAGTCCAATGTCCAAAAACCTTGAAGGTTGCGTTTACGGGTTATTATTCCTGTTTGGCAACAAACTAAACTCCATTTGTTCCATTTCCTGCTGCTTCTCCTGGTTAAAAAAAAAAAAACACCGGCCCACCCCAGTGCATGCAGGTCCTAACAGTCTCTATACTTATAGAAAAGATGACCCCATAGTATTTCATGTCAAATATAACAAATGCAAATAAAACAAAACAAAATAAAAAATAAATGTAATAAAAATTGAACAACTGTTAACTTACAAATAAACCTGATATAGCTTTCAGCAAGGTTATAATCATTATATTTATACAGATATGCATTTTTGTTGCTGTGTTTTTGTTACCTCCGTTTCTGTAGGTGTACRGCCAAGATGTTGTGTGTTGTCTTGTGGTTTCTGTATTACACACGTCTTCTAAATGCTCTTTCACTATTTTCTATTACATTTCACTATTTTTTTCTTCTCTTACCTTTTCTTCTTAAAAAAAATCACTGATGATGAAGAAGTTAAGAAACTGATATTCAGTTCTGCTTTCTACTGAAGTGGCAAAAAAAATAAAACAATAAATCTGATAAATACTTCCAAAATATAAAAAAACTAAGAACAAATGTTAACAAAATTTAAAGTAGTAGAGCTCAAGAATGAATGGTGTTAGGGCTTCAGCGGGCCTGTCTATTTGCTGGAAGCTGAAAACCTAAAGTTCAGAGTTTGAACCATCTGTTAGACTGAATGTTTTATTAAACAAACTAAAGTTTAAACAACACATTAAATGAGTTGCATTTAGGGAAATTAAAAGTGCTGCAGCGTTCAGTCTCAGAGATGAGAGCACGAGGAGGTTTTAATAATTCAGGCCCACTCCGAGGACAACTGTAGCAGACATTTCTTCTTCTCTTATTGACTCTGTTTTACTCATCACTTATATTCCTCCCATCTTCCTTCTTCATTTACTTCTGGTTTTGTTTTTTTCCTGCACACTCACAGTGGAAGCTGGAGCTCTGAACATTCAGCACAAAGAGCAGCACAGAAAACGGCTCACTACTCCCAAATTACCAAAAGCAATTTCAGCAGAAAATCAAAGATGAAAGTGCATCATCTTTCTGAAAACGCACAAAGAAAGAGGCTGCGGGGAGCAGCCTATCAGAGCTGACCTCATGCAGCTGCTGGGGGGGGGTTCAGGAGTCAGGCTGCAGAGGACTGAAGACCGCCCTCTGACCCACCAGGCTGAACTAGGTCAGCCGTCCAAACCTCCTCCAGGAAGACAGCCTCCGTCAAACTCTAATCAGCACTCTGCCAACAGATCGCTGTCTTTCTGTGCCTGCAGGGTCTTCGAGGGGCTCAGAGTCCCCGTCAGTCCCCCACCCCCTTTGTTTTTGTAGCAGTTACATCCAAACGCTGCAGAACAAAGATTCCTGTCAGAGCTGCTTAAATCTGTTTCTTAAAGAACGCACAGCTTTATTCTTTTAGCTGCTTCAAACTGAAATAAGCTCATTTGGTTTTTAACTCCCAGTTTCAGTCTGAGGCTGACTTCACTGAACACTTTCCTTTAAATCCTGGAGGCTTGGCTTCCTGAGTCATGCCTGAAGCACAGCAGCCAGGTTGTTGCAGTTTCATGACAACAATTGCGTCATTCTGTTCACATTGTCGACTCTTCGGCTCCTCGTCAAAGACTGCTGGAGCTACCTGGAAGCAGACGGTCATAAAGACAGTCAGAAACTCATGGATGGAGATAAAACAGACGTTCACTGAGGTATCTGATACAAGCTGTGGAGCTTTAACACCACAGATTCATGGACAAATAACGCCAGGTGACGGGTCGCACTTTTTTGTCCAATTGTCGACTCCAGTGTGATGGAAATAATACTTTTGGGTTTAAGCCAGTAATTCATGACACTTTAATGACCTAAGTTTTCATGACATGCTGTTCATCAGCAGATAAAATGATTAAAGTCAGAACAAAATAAATTCTCAGTATTGATTTTGTTTGAATTTAATTTTTGGGAAAAAAGAGAGCAGACAATTAATTTTTTCCTGCTTCTTTTAATTTCATTTATGATTTTTTTTTTATCATATTTAGATATTTTGTTTGGTTTAATGAATGAATATAATTTAGGCCTGTGTCTCAATGGAAATAAGACAGAATACAGTGTCTGAAGTCTCATGTTTGTTTTTGTCTTTCCCTCAGACTGTGTGGACCCCCTTGACCAAGGAGACTTGTTTCCATTTCAATGGACAGATTTAAATTTGTTGAACTCTTCCAACAAGCACATGCAGAAATGTTTGGTGGTACTCCACTTATTGCTGTGGGGAGCTGTGGACTCCACACTTTAAATGAAGTCAAAAGWGGTTTTTCCCAATGACAAGTAGAGAAGCTGCTGAGAGCCATGCACACATCATTTCACAACGTGCCAGCCAGGAGAGAAGACTACACTGCTGTGACCAAGTCAACCATCTTCCCTTTATCTTCCTGTGGTCATYGCTGGCTTGAAGACCAGYCTGTGATTGAAAAGGCTGTTGAAGTTTGGCCATCACTCACACACTACATAGAAACTGTACAAAGAAAACTGCTCACAAGTCCTGGAACAGCATCTTTTGATACAGTAGAGGAAGCCATGGAGGACCCTTTCATCTTGGCCAGGCTATACTTCTCCTTGACTGTTGCCAGTTCAGTCYCTTTTTGAAGAGGTACCAGACAGGTGAGCCACTGATGCCTTTCCTCAGCAATGACCTGGCTCAGTTCATCAAGGTAGAGGCTTTTTTTTTACATTTTCATCCCAGAACTGGAACCACTGCTGATAAAATTATGTATATGGTTTGAGATTTTTATAATTCATGGTATATTATTTTACTTGTCAGAGTCTACTCAGATGCTTCATTGAGAGAGATCCTTCAGGATATCTCCACTCTACAGCTCATCAGCTGAAAGAAGAACTGGCTCCAAYCAAAGGACATTGACATCAGGTTGAGTGCAGAATCTGTCACAAAGRTTGGTGTGATAAGAAATATCTTTTTCTAGATTGTGTTCAGCAGTATATTGTACTAATCATTGACTGCTTTATTCTCCGTCTAGAGCAGAAATATTTCTGAGCTCAGAGTCCTTGAATTTCGAAGAGACTACATGCAGGGACTTTCCAACATGGCCAGGAGAACGCAGGAGAAGATCCCTCTGAAATATCCAGCAGTTAGGCAGATGTGTCCTCTGCCATGTTTAGAGATCCAGACAAGTGCAAGAGGCAGATGAAATGCCTTGTTCAAACCTTTCTGCAGGACAAACAGCTGACAGGAGACATTTCTGCTGGTAGCAGTTGTAACTTAGAGGCTATTAATAAAAGTAAGATATCTGCACAGATGTTTGTCTTTTCAGTAGATTAATGCTTTGTGTACTTTTTTCTTTTCTAATGTACTAGCTGGTCATTTTGAGTGCAGATCTCTTACTTTTAATRTGTTCATGGTTATTTGCCTGTTCTGTGTGCAATGACTGACCTTGTATTGATGGTTTGATGTGAACCAATATAAATGTAAATGCAATAGATATTTGTTCATTTTCCTTAAGAAGTCGTTGGTATACTGTAATTGATATTGTTGTAATGATTTTAATTTGTCTTTTTTTCTCTTTGTTTTTAAGGGGACATCATCCAATAATTTGAAGCCATTTTGTCTGTCTGAGACCAGGAATGAAGAGTTCCTTTCCTTTAGACCAGTGGTTCCCAAACTTTTTATCTTCTGACCCACAAAATATTCATGGCAAAAACTTGTGACCCCAAATATTACTGGTCTGAGAACACGAACTTTGTTAATAACCCTAAAAACACAGGCTTTTTGACAATCTAAACAGCTTTGTAAGGAAATATGAGTTCAATAACGGTTGAAATCAGGTGAAAACACAAGTGTTAAATAAAATGA